ACAATTTAAAACATGTAATACATAAAATTTTGGGAGCCTGAAGTTGTGGGGGGGCATGCTACACAGTGAGGGACCCACAGCCACCCTGCCCGCCAGCTTCGTCTGTCGAACTCCTCAGTGAAAACAAGCACCGCACACCCATCAAAAAAAGTGGAGAAAAATGCAAATGGGTCGATTTCGAGGGGGTCGCGGGGAGTAAGTGCTAGTTTGCTGTGCAGGGGGCATTTGAGTACTATGAAGCCAAATGGACAAATTCCGAAACCCGGGCGTTGTTACCAGGGCAAGAGTTACTTAAATTACTTCATTTCAGTTTGCCACGGCTGACAATATACCAATTTTAGGGAGATGAAAAAAGAATATAGAAAAAAAGAGTGAGCAGAGAAAGAAGTTGGGAGACCACCTGAAGCTTCTGGGGACAGAGGCGTTAAGCAGGGCCTCCCGCGGCGAGAGCCCCCAGGTGAAGGATTCACACCGCCCACACATCAGTGCCAAGCTCGAGCCTTCTCAATCGTTAAGAAAAGAACTTCGCTGGCTGGCCGGCTCGGTGGCTGATATATTTTTCTTTTATATCTCTAGTTATTTTTTTGTTGTTGTATTTTTTTGAAGTATCTGTTTTTTTTTTTTTGGTGATATCTTTTGTATTTTTTTTTTTTTTTTTTTTTTTTTTTGTTTCTATGTATCTCTATATGATCTCATCTCTGTCTTTTTGTTTTATTATATTCTATTTCTTGTTGTTGATATTGATCCTCTTTTTTTTTTGTCTTTTTCATCTAATAATATATCTAAATTATATATATCTTTAATGCTTCTTTGTTTTTCTGTTTTTTGTCTTTTTTGATGTGTTCTTTTTGTTTTTTTTTTTTTTTTTTGTTTTTTTTTTTTTTTTTTTGGTTTTTTTTTTTTTTTGGTTTATTTTTTTTTTGTTTTTGTGCCGGGGGGGGGGGGGCGGGGGTGGGTGTGGGCGTGGGGGGGGGGGCCGGCGCCCTGGTGGAGTGCTCGAGGCTACTCGGAGGTGGGGCTGAGGCAGGAGAATGGCGTAAACCCGGGAGGTGGAGCTTGCAGTGAGCTGAGATCCGGCCACTGCACTCCAGCCTGGGCGGCAGAGCGAGACTCCGTCTCAAAAAAAAAAAAAGAACTTCCTGCCATTGAAGCGCCCAGTGTGTGGCCATTTGTTGCATAGCCGAGGACACCAAGGCCCAGACCCAGCTATGTGTGCGCCCTGGGGAAGCAGAGGGTGAGGGGGACTCTCTGCTGCCAGGGTCAGTGCTTGGGGGTGTCTCCCAGGAGCAGGATGGGACAGGGCTCCTCCCTCCTCCAGGGCAGGTTGGGAGGCCTCAGGGAGCTCCACCTCCCAGGAATGCCCATGGGCCCAGGAAGCGCAGGGTGGGGTTCCTGAAAGCTCTGGATGCTGCGGCTGGAGAAAACAGGCTGTTCCAGGGAGGGGCACTGGAACTGCGGCCACACACGGGCTTGGGGCGATCTGGCCTGTGCCTGGGCACTTAGCCTGAGTGTCGGGGGGACCAGGGCCTGTGCAGGTCACGTGGCCTCCACAGTGTTAGCTCCAAGGGACACCGCTTGGCCTCTTAGTCAACCCGGGGATGACTCCTTCCTGGTGGGACCTCCCTTCTTGAGGCTTCCAGGAGGCGTCTTGTGTCTCTGGTCTCTGCTTCCTGGCCCCTCCTCCCTCCTGAAGCTCCATCCTGTGTCCAGTGTCCCTGAGATGACCTCATCCACACCGATTTCCCATTCCGTGCTCTGCGGCAGGCTCTGGAGTCCACATCTCCAAGCCAAGTAGGCGTCCCTCACATGCTCCTGCTCGGACCGGCCGCCTGACGACTTCTTTGAGCCTGGCAGACGGCCACGCAGAGCCCTGAGTTGCCATGGAATCTGCTGGCCCTCTGGCACCCATCTCAGTGAGGACCCCCCCACCCCAGGAGCACAGGCCCGTGGCTGTGTCCCCCACACCCACATGAACACTCACAACAGATCTAGGGCGTCTTCAAAATTCAGGCAATGTCCAGCTTGGGCCTTTCCAGCCAGTCGGCTCGCTTCCCGACCCAGCACCGTCACCTCCTCCCTGGCCCTGCATCCCCTCCACTGGGACCCCCTCTGGTTCCCTCCCTGTAAGCAGCCCAGGCTCCAAGAACTCCACGGGCCCCCCAAGGCACAGTCCCGGAGCCAAAGTCTTCCCCTCGGCCTTCCAAGACCTCTGGAATCCAGCCACCGGCTCAAACCCTCTGACCCCATCTCTTCTCTCCTCCCCATTTCCTGCCCCACTGAAGGCCCAGCTGCCTCCTTTCCTTCCTGGAAGCCCCAGGGCCTTTGTGCCTTCCAGTCCCCTAATCAGAAATGCCCCCAGCTGTACGCCTCCTCCTTGCCTGAAGTACTGTGCTCCAAGGTCACCTTGGCCGCCCCGTTGAACACTGCAGCCCCCATGCAGCCCCTCGAGCAGCTATGCACACTCTCGACAACGTAGGCGCCAGTGCTTGGCTCCGTGCCGTGTCCCAGCTCCTGTGCCGTGTCCCAGCTCCTGTGCACCCACACTGGCCCTATGTGCCCATGTGGTGACTGAACCAGGCAGCCAGCTGACCCATGGGGTGCCCCTTCCCTGAGAGCTGCTTCCTTCCTCATCCACAGGGTACTCAGAGACTGGCCCTGGGCTGGGCCCCTGTCTGGAGCGCCTGGGATGACTGCAGAGGCTGCTGTCAAGGTAGCTGTGCTCCGTGGCCAGGACAAGCAAGTTGACCTAGGGGCCCAGGACACTACGATGAACTCTCTGGCCCCACAGCCCGGCCCCGAGCCTCCTCTGCTGAAGCCGGCGGTGTACTGACGGCGGCATGGGGCCTGAAAGATTGGCGCAGGAATAAGCAAAGAGACCCTGGACCAGAGGGCGGGTCCAGAAAGCGGCGCCTCCCCTCTGCCGATCGATAACAAAGGCCTCTGCAGAGCAGGGGGCAGAGGTGGCCTTTCCCTGCCAGGTATCCAGTATCGGTTGGACGTTGACAGAAGAAAGTGACCCCATCCCCACAATTAATGTAAAATGAGTCATAGAGCAGGCTGGGCACGGTGGCTCACACCTGTAATCCCAGCACTTTGTGAGGCCGAGGCAGGCAGATCACTTCAAGCCATAAGTTCAAGACCAGCCTTACCAACATGGTGAAACCCTGTCTCTACTAAAAATACAAAAATTAGCTGGGCGTGGTGGCGGATGCCTGTAATCCCAGCTACTCGGGAGACTGAAGCACAAGAATCATTTGAACCTGGGAGGCAGAGGTTGCGATGAGCTGAAATTGCACCACCACACTCCAGCCTGGGTGACAGAGTGAGACTTTGTCTCGAAATATAATAATAATAAATGAAATAAAATAAGACGTAGAACAAAGTGTGAAAAATAAGCCCCAAAGCTTCTAGAATAAAACATAGCAAAATCTCTTCAAGACACTGTGGTCAGGCCAGATGCAGTGGCTCACACCTGTAATCCCAGCACTTTGGGAGGCTGAGGTAAGGCTCAGGGCGGATCACCTGAGGTCAGGAGTTCAAGACCAGCCTGGCCAACATGGTGAAACCCTGTCCCTACTAAAAATACAAAAATTAGCTGGGTATGGTGGCAGGCACCTGAAATCCCTCCTATTTGGGAGGTTGAGGCAGGAGAATCACTTGAACCCAGGAGGTAGAAGTTGCAGTGAGCTGAGATCACGCCACTGCACTCTGACCTGGGTGACAAAGTGAGACTGCGTCTCAAAAGAAAAAAGAAGACACTGAGGTTAGCAAAGATTTCTAACATAGAACACAAAGGGACTTACCATAAAAGACTGGACTTCCTTAAAATCAACCACTTCGAGACACCATCAAGAGAGTGAAAAGGTAAGTTGCAGATGAATGCGCTGTTCGCCTTGGTGTGTCTCCATAGACTCTGGACCAAGGTCTTCTGCCCAGAATATATCAAGAACTCCTACAAACTGATAAGAAAAAGATAAACAAACCAATTTTTAAAATGGGCAATACACTTGAACAGGCACTTCACAGACCTGAAGCACGTTGAAAGGGCTAAATGCAGTGAAAAACTGGTCAGCCTCATTAGTCTGAGGAAATAAGTCATTAGTCACCAGGGAAATAAGCATTTAAACCACACTGAGATGCCACTTCATACCTTCACAAAGGCTAAAATTACAGACTGACTATTCCATCTTTATTTATTTATTTTGGAGACAGAGTCTTGCTCTGTTGCCCAGACTGGAGTGCAGTGGTGCAATCTTGGCTCACTGCAACCTCTGCCTCCTGGGTGCAAACTATTCTCCTGCCTCAGCCTCCCAAGTAGCTGGAATTACAGGCGCCCACCACCACGCAAGGCTAACTTTTGCATTTTTAGTAGAGACGGGGTTTTACCATGTTGGCCAGGCTGGTTTTGAACTCTTCATCTCAGATGATCCACCCGCCATGGCCTCCCAAAGTGCTGGGGTTACAGGTTTCAGCCACTGCGCCTGGCCAAAGACTGCCTATTCTAAACGTTGGTGAGGATGTGGAACAACCACAGCTCTCCTCTCCTTCCAGTGGGAGTTTAACGTGGCACAACCTCCTGGAAACCATTTGGTGACTTCTGTGAATTCCTATGCCTTCCCTATGACCCAGTAATTCCGCTCCTAGGTGGAGTTAACCTGTGATGGTTAATTTTCTGTGTCAACTTGTCTGGGACACGGGGTGCCCAGATGTTTGCTCAGCACAATTTGGGCTGTTTCTTCGAGGGTGTTTCTGGATGAGATGACTGGGGGCTCTCAGTGAAGCGGACTGCACTCCCCAGTGTGGGCTGGCCCCATGCGCTCAGCTGAGGAAACACTGGGATGGAGTAAGAAATCCCAGGAATCGGAGGGCCGGCTCTCCCTGGGTCTCAAGCCTGCCAGCTTTCAGCCTGGAGCAGTGGTATCGCCCTCCGGGGTCTCCAGGGTGCCAACTGTGGCTCTCGGGACTTGTCAGCCTCCATCATCACAAGAGCAGATTCCTTCTCATCGATCTCGTTCTCCAGATACAGAGACGGGTGTGTCTCCTGTTGGCTCTGGTTCTTTGGAGAACCCCGGCTAATATACACCCAAGATGGAGAAGGGCTTCTATGACCAAGGGACACAAACAGGAACCTACCGAGCAGAGTTCCTCATCACAGCCCTTGTGCGTTTCTTTAGGGATACCGTAACAAAGTTCCCCAATCAGGCAGCTTAAAGCAACACCAGCGCATTCTCTCACAGTCTGGGAAACCAAGGCCTGGGATCAAGGCATGGGCAGGATTGGCTCCTTCTGAAAGCTCTGAGGGAAAATCCTTCCAGCACCTCTTCCCAGCTGCTGGGGGCTGCAGCAATGCCGCCCGTGTATCTGTGTCTAGACTCCCTCCGCCTCGATCTTCTGAGGACACCTGTCACTGGATTTAGGACCCACCCAACTCCAAGATAATCTCAGCTCAATGTCATTAATGAATGACATTTACAAAGATTATTTTTCCAAAGAAGGTTCCTTTCATAGGATCTGGGTGGACACATCTTTTGGGTGCCACCATTCAACAAGCCCCAAACCAGAAATAACCCAAATGTTCATCAGTGGGAGGCTGGGTCAGCGTGCTGTGGTTTATTCCTACAATGGAATACAATTCAGCAACAAAGAGGAACCACTGACGCACGCGGCGACTCAGATGAATCTCCCAGGCATGACGCTGAACTCGAGCAGTAAGACAGGACCAAGGCCTGAGGAAGGTGAAGCGACACACGTGAGCTGGCTCAGTATTTGTTTGGTTTTTTCCAGATGGAGTTTCGTTCTTGTTGCCCAGGCTGAAGTGCAATGGCGTGGTCTCGGCACACTGCAACCTCCGCCTCCCCGGTTCAAGCAAATCTTCTGCCTCGGCCACCCAAGTGGCTGGAATTACAGGTACCCGCTACCACATCCAGCTGATTTTTTGTATCTTTAGTAGAGACGGGGTTTCTCCATGTTGGTCAGGCTGGTCTTAAACTCCTGACCTCAGGTGATCCGCCCACCTTGGCCTCCCAAAGTACTGGGATTAGAGGTGTGAGTCACTGCACCGGGCTCGGGCCTTTTTTTTTTTTTTTTAAAGAGAGAGTTTGCTCTGTCACCCAGGCTGGAGTGCAGGTGGCATGATCTCAGCTCACTGCAGCCTCCACCTCCCGGGTTCAAGCAATTTTCCCACCTCAGCCTCCCAAGTAGCTGGGATTACAGGCACCCGCCACCATGCCTGACTAATTTTTGTATTTTTAGTAGATACAGGGTTTCACCATGTTGGCCAGGCTGATCTCGAACTCCTGATCCCAGGTGATCCACCCGCCCTGGCTTCCCAAAGTACTGGGATTATAGGTGTGAGCCACCGCACCTGGCCGAGACTCTTTTGATGTCAGAAAAAATGTCGAATGCCAGAATCTGGGCTCCTGGTGTGTGGGCGGCTCCACATCGGGCTTTGGCACGTATGTTGAGGGGTCTGCCTTGGCCCCTCCCTTCCTGGGCCCAAGCAGGTGGGGTAGCAGGCGGGGAGGGGCCTCAGTTGTCCGGGTGGGCCTTCTGGCCCACCCTACTCTCCCCTCCACACAGGATGGGGTGTCCTGCGGGGTGAGGGAGCCTCAGGGCTCCCACGCAGTCTGAACGCTGGAGCTTGGGCCCCACCGCACTGGGTCTCCTCCCCAGGGCGCAACAGGCCTCACATCATAGGGCATCCCCACCCTACCTCCCCCTCAACCCCACTCAGTCAGGCCAGGCTCTGCCTAGGCCCCTTGGGGCTGCAGTTTCTCAGGAAACAGCACTGCCCAGAGCGCCTCCCCCGCAGCAGCCACTGCCCGCCCCGCCCTGGGCATCACTCCTTGCGGCCTGACAGGTGCATGCGGGTGGCAGCATGGCAGCAGGCTCCCTGTGCAGTGTGCTTCCTGCCAGGGAACTCGCTGGTCTCCTGCTGGCATCACACATCCCTGACCCTCCCTGAGGGTCCTCCCAGGTTTCTCAGGCCTGGGGCAGGGGGCAGAGCAGCAGGAGACAGAAGTGGTGATCCACCAGGCAAGGGGCTGGGCTGGCGAAGGCACCCCCTGGGATCCCTGGGATCCCTGGCCAGGCTGGGGCCAGGAATGGGAGAGGCTCAGGGCGGGTGCTGGGGCAGAGCCTGGGAGCTGGAGGAGAAGCAGGTGGGGAGACAGCAGAGCCCCACTGAAGGGAGCCACAGTGAGCCCCAGGCACAGATGGGACAGGCCTCGAGTCCTCTTTGGCCAGGAGACTTCCAGGAGGAACGGTGAGAATGCAGGGGTGGGCTGCCAGGAGCCTGAGGAGCCCGTCCACATCTGCCAGGCACCGTCTGTACGAGAGGCCAGCTTCCAGCGTGGCTGAGGTCCCAGGTCCCTCCGTGCCCAGCAATGCCTGGGTCCCAGACAGCACAGGTTGCTGCCTCCTTCTCACCAGCAGGACCTGCTGAGCATCTGAGCTGCCTGGGGTGTCACAGGTGAGCCAGCAGTGACAGGTGGGAGGTGATGTGTCATGGGTGAGCTAGTGGTGGCGGGTGGGAGGTGCTGAGCCAGTCCTGGGTGACATATGGGTGGATGGGAGATGTCCCACGCCACACTGTGGTTTTTTTGTGGGGTTTTTTTTTTTTTTTTGAGATGGAGTCTCCCTGTGTCATCCAGGCTGGAGTGCAGTGGCAAGATCTTGGCTCACTGCAAACTCCGCCTCCTGGGTTCACACCATTCTCCTGCCTCAGCCTCCTGAGAAGCTGGGACTACAGGTGCCCACCACCATGCCCCGCTAATGTGCTGGACTACAATTGCAGTATTGGTGTGAATGCATGTAACTTTTCTTTTCTTTTCTTTTCTTTTCTTTTTTTTTTTTCTGAGATGGAGTCTTACTGTGTCACTCAGGCTACAGTGCAATGGCACAATCTCAGCTCACTGCCACCTCCGCCTCCCGGGTTCAAGCGATTCTCCTGCCTCAGTCTCCTGAGTAGCTGGGATTATAGGCATGCGCCACCACGCCCAGCTAATTTTTGTATTTGTAGTAGAGATGGAGTTTCACCACATTGGCCAGGCTGGTCTCGAAATCCTGACCTTGTGATCCGCCTGCCTCGGCCTCCCAAAGTGCTGGGATTACAGGCGTGAGCCACCGTGCCCGGCCTCGCTCTCTCTCTCTCTCTTTTTTGTTAAGGGTCTCACTCTTGTTGCCCATGCTGGGGTGCAGTGATCAAGGCTCACTGTAACCTCGAACTCCTGGGCTCAACTGATCCTCTCTCCTCAGCCTCCTGAGTAGCTTGGACTACAAGCATGCGCCACCATGCACGGCTTCATGCTTTTTCATACAGTAAATGAATATAGCGAGGTAGAGGGGTGTGTGTTTGTGTGTGTGTGTGCAGTTCCCAGCTCTGCCTGTCAGAAGGGCCCAGAAACAATGAAGTCCCAGTAGTCATGTGCACACCCAATGCCCTGCCCAGATCTCAGTTCCGTTTCCCACTAACAGGAACAGAGGTTCTTTGGAGCGAAGGCTACATCCAGGGCTGGGGCAGGGAATGTTTGAGATGAACCTGGGATATCCTGTTGTGCCAGGAAGTCAGGAAGCACTCAAGGAAACAGGCCGGGCGTGGTGGCTCATGCCTGTAATCCCAGCACTTTGGGAGGCCAAGGTGGGAAGACTGCTTGAGCTCAGGAGTTTCAGAACAGCCTAGCCAACATGGCAAAACCCCGTCTCTACAAACAAACACGCAAAAAAATTAGCCAGGAATGGTCTGTATTACTCTGTTATTATGCTGCTGATAAAGACATACCTGAGTCTGGGTAATTTATACAGGAAAGAGGTTTAATGGACTCGCAGTTCCACATGGCTGGGGAGGCCTCACAATCATGGTGGAAGGCGAAGGAGGAGCAAAGTCCCGTCTTCCATGGAGGCAGACAGAGCGTGTGCAGGGGAACTCCCCTTTATAGAACCATCAGATCGGCCGGGCGCGGTGGCTCAAGCCTGTAATTCCAGCACTTTGGGAGGCCCGAGACGGGCGGATCACGAGGTCAGGAGATCGAGACCATCCTGGCTGACACAGTGAAACCCCGTCTCTACTAAAAATACAAAAAAAATTAGCCGGGCGAGGTGGCGGGCGCCTGTAGTCCCAGCTACCCGGGAGGCTGAGGCAGGAGAATGGCATAAACCCGGGAGGCGGAGTTTGCAGTGAGCCAAGATCGTGCCACTGCACTCCAGCCTGGGCGGCAGAGCGAGACTCCGTCTCAAAAAAAAAAACCATCACATCCCATGAGACTTATTTACTACCTCATGAAGACAGCACGGGAAAGACCCACTGCCATGATGCAATTTCCTCCCACTGGGCCCCTCCCACCACACGGGAATTATGGGAGTGACAATTCAAGACAAGATTTGCATGGGGACACAGCCACACCATATCAGTGTCACATGTCTGTGGTCCCACATGCTCGGGAAGCTGAAGCAGGAAGATCACTTGAGCTGGGACAGTCGAGGCTGCAATGAGCCAAGATTGCACCACTGCACTCCAGCCCAGGCAACAGAGTGAGACCATCTCAAAATAAATAAATAAAAGATGGAGACGTGTCAAAAGGTAAGAGATGGCTCAAGGAGCTTCCCTCTGGCCAAACCTAGGACAATTTATACATAAATGGGGGGTGCAGCAGAAGGAATAATGAAATTATAAAACTTCTGTTTGGCATGGCTGGGCATGGTGGCTTACACCTGTAATCCCAGCACTTTTGGAGGCTGAGGCAGGTAGGATCACCTGAGGTCAGGAGTTTGAGACCAGCCCGGCCAACATGGTGACACCATGTCTCTACTAAAAATACAAAAAATTAGCTAGACATGGTGGCATGCACCTGTAATCCCAGCTACTTAGGAGGCTGAGGCAGGAGAATCACTTGAACCCAGGAGGCAGAGGTTGCAGTGAGCTGAGATTACACCACTGTACTCCAGTCTGGGCAACAAAAGTGAAACTCTGTCACAAAAAAAAACAAAACAAAACAAAACAGTAGGCCAGGCATGGTGGCTCATGCCTGTAATCCCGGCACTTGGGGAGGCAGAGGTGGGTGGATCACAAGATCAGGAGTTGGAGACCATCCTGGCCAGAGTGGTGAAACCCCGTCTCTACAAAAAATGTAAAAAATTAGCCAGGCATGGTGGCACACCCCTGTAGTCCCAGCTACTCAGGAGGCTGAGGCAGGAGAATCACTTGAACCTGGCAGGTGGAGGTTGCAGTGAGCTGAGATCACGCCAAAAGAGCAAGACAAAAAAAAAAAAGAAAGAAAGAGAACTTCCATTTGGCAACCAGCATATTAATTGATTCAGGGAAGCGTGAACTCCAGCACTTAAACTACTGGTGAAAGGCCGGTGGAAGCAGGCAATCCATGTGGCCTCAAATCTCCTCACACAGCATTTACTCTTTACTACTTGTTAATTAGTAAGTACAAAGTAAATTCATTAACTATACAGTGAAGGAACCTGGCAGATATCACCTTAGCCAGATAATAAACTGTACTATCACTGGGGTGGAACAAGTCCCAGCATATCATCGTGTCGCTCGTGACACACTGCACCGAGGAGAACACCATCACTTCTGAGCTACACCTGCCCAAACTGCAGAAATGGTATCCAATCATCAGGAAGCCCTAGACAAACCCAAACTCAGAGATATTTTACAAAGTAACCAGTCTGTACTGTTCAAAAATACCACAGTCATGAAATACAAAGAAAGACAAATTCAAAAAATAAAAATGGATCATGTTTTAAATTAGATTTTCAAAGAGTGGTCCTCTTGCTCTCTGACCTCACTGGCCTGAGTTATCAGTCAACAGTGACATTCAAGAGTTCCCAGTCCAGGCTGTCGCGGTGGCTCACGCCTGTCATCCCAGCACTCTGGGAGGCCGAGGCGGGTGGATCACCTGAGGTCAGGAAGACCAGCCTGGCCAACATGGTGAAATCCTGTCTCTACTAAAAATACAAAAATTAGCCCCACATGGTGGTGCATGCCTGTATTCCCAGCACTTTGAGAGGATGAGACAGGAGAGTCATTGGAGGCCAGGAGTTCGAGACCAGCCTGGGCAACATGGTGAAACCTCATCTCTACTAAAAATACAGATTAAATACAAAATACAGATTAAATACCAAAATGCAAATTATAGGTGATGGGTGGCTATAATCCCAGCTACTCGGAAAGCTGAGGCAGGAGAGTCATTTGAACTCAGGAGGCAGAGGTTGCACTGAGCCAAGATCACGTCAATGCACTCCAGCCTGGGCAACAGAGTGAGATTCCATCTTTTTTTTTTAAAAAAAAAAAAGGCTGGGCGCGGTGGCTCAAGCCTGTAATCCCAGCACTTTGGGAGGCCGAGACGGGCGGATCACGAGGTCAGGAGATCGAGACCATCCTGGCTAACACGGTGAAACCCCGTCTCTACTAAAAAATACGAAAACTTAGCCGGGCGAGGTGGCGGGCGCCTGTAGTCCCAGCTACTCGGGAGGCTGAGGCAGGAGAATTGCTTGAACCAGGGAGGCGCGGTGGCTCAAGCCTGTAATCCCAGCACTTTGGGAGGCCGAGGCGGGTGGATCACGAGGTCAGGAGATCGAGACCATCCTGGCTAACACGGTGAAACCCCGTCTCTACTAAAAATACAAAAAACTAGCTAGACACGCTCCCCGTGCCCTCCCCACCAGACTCCAAGCAGCCGACTCCACCTGTCAGACTCAAGTGTGGAACAAAACCCTTACAGGACAAGCCACAGAGAAAGCTGTGAATTCCTCATTGAAGGAGGCGAAAGAAACACACTACAAACTACCACAGGGGCCTGGATTGGATCTGGACCCATAAAAGACGTCACTGGGGCCGCCCATGAAATTCTCCTGGGTCTGTGGTTCATGGTGATGTCATGCCAATATCTGGCCCTGGTTGCGACGGTCTGCTGCGGTTAAGGGGAGACATGGGCGCTTTCCCTGTTTGAGGAAACACGCCCTCCAGTGATAAGGAACAATGGGCATTAAGTCTGCAACTTACGGCCGGGCGCGGTGGCTCAAACCTGTTAATTTCAGCACTTTGGGAGGCCGAGACAGGCGGGAGTCACGAGGTCCAGGAGATCGAGAACCATCCTAGGCTACTCCGGTGAAGAGCCCCGTCTCTACTAAAAAATACAAAAAAAAACCGGCCGGGCGAGGTGGCATGCAGCCTGTAGTCCCAGCTACTTCGGAGGGTGAGGCAGGAGAGTCGGCGGGAAACCCGGGAGGCGGAGTTGCAGTGAGCTGAGAATCGGCCACTGCACTCCAACACTGGGCGGACAGCGAGACTCCCGTTCAAAAAAAAAAAAAAAAAAAAAAAAAGTCTGCAACTTACTCTCAAATGGGTCAAAAAAACAGAGAGAGAGGACCAGATACGGTGGCTCACACCTATAATCCCAGCACTTTGAGAGGCCAAGGCAGGCGGATCACGAGGTCAGCAGATCGAGACCATCCTGGCTAACACAGTGAAACTCCATCTCTAGTAAAAATACAAAAAATTAGCTGGGGGTGGTGGTGGGTGCCTGTTGTCTCAGCTACTTGGGAGGCTGAGGCAGGAGAATCACTTGAACCTGGGAGGTGGAGCTTGCAGTGAGCCGAGATCACGCCGCTGGACTCCAGCCT